AAAAAAAAAATCCAGCCACAATTCAAGTCTTAATTCAATGAATTGTTAAGGATTAATAAAAAAAAATACTTTTTAGATAAACATTTTTCGAAATCACTGGCCGTGAAAATCATCGCGAGAAGCCCGGAGAGTTCTGTGTAAGCTTTTAATCTAGAGCGCTTTATTATCGACAAGTGGACTTCTAAACAACTGGCGTGGGCCAAAGTCGGCTCTTCGTCACACACTGTCGGCTTTCGCACAGCAAATGGCAGCTTTGCGGAACATTTCGCTATGAAATACACAACTAACTTCATCACGATAAGAACGTGGAAGTTTCTGCCTGCAATTAGCCTTGTCCGGAACGAAGAAACTGCTGCCAAGTTTGGCGCAAGCTCATCCTTACTTACAGTTGCCTCGTACTAGAGTTATCGTCACTTCGGACTTGGAGGCTAAGAAGTGGGCAGCTTTGTCATGTCGTTCTTCACTCTTGACACGTTCCAGCAGTATCACCAAGAAGTCGGAGCAGCGATGGCATCCAAGCTCGAATCGAAAAACGAGTCACCATCCAATACTGGCAAGAAGAATGCTAACGGCAAGCAAGAGGAGAAGCGTCCGTCTTCTCCAAGTCGAGCAAATACGAGCGCTCACGCTGCCAGCGAGCTGGACCCTTTGTCAGCTCTAAATCTTGCACGTGCTGCAGACCCGTGGCTTGGAAATTCACTGTTGACACCAACAGCATGCAGTTATCTCGATAGCGCCGAAGGTTCTTCGGCTTCTGCTGTCGCCGCAACTTCATTAAAAGTAGTCGCTATTGACCATCCAGACGAAGACTGGGGAGAGTTCGAGACTTTTGCTCCACGTGAAGAGAAGATAAAGCAACATATGAATGGAAGAGACGGCTCTCCGTCTAAACGTTCGACGCCTCCTTCGCTGCGGCTTTCGGATCAAATCAACGGACATGATAGTGACGATGACGGCGATGGTAATAACACCAAGCCAATGCTAGGAAATGACGTGGAATCTGATCGTTCCAGTGCAATTCGAGGTCTCAGCTCGTCGTCTATGATGCTCCGCAACAATACTCCCACGAACGCTGCGCCAATAGCGTCGGGTCGACAGACATTCCCAAGTACGGGGAGCGGAGAGGCCAAGGGTTTCGCAGGTATACTACTAGACCGACTGCTCTTGCTTGGAAGTCCAACAGCACGCAATTCTAGTCCAAACCCAGCACCAAAACGAACCTACGATTCGTACGACGTCACGTTTGATCAAGGTCCGGTGGGGCTGGATCTCGAGACGGATTGGTACGGACGTCAAGCCGTAGTTAAAGGATTCCGTGCTATCAACGCAGCCGGCGACGAGGGACCAGCTAAACGCTGCGGTATGATTCGCACTGGCGACGTTCTCACTGCTATCAACGGTGAATCGTGTCTCGAGATGAACTT